GAAGTTGGGATCTCCTGCTCAGATATCAAGCATCTAATGGCCATACCCCATGTTGTCTTAAGAACATAGTCCTGCTCTCTGTCTGACCTATGTTGATTCAGGTCTTCTGATTCTGTTGAAGACCCCAGCCAGTGGGTGACAGAACCTCTCCATGTTCAGCACCTGAGATTCTGCAGCTGTTTTTTTTTTTTACAACTCATTTAAAGGTCTTACACCACATCCCTCAACGCATCATACAGTTTGACTCGTGATCTCATTGGGTCAGCCCATGCTTTGCTCTTGACTGAATGTGTGGTAGCTCACAGGAAGAAGAAGGAGAAGTAGGGCGCCATGAGCCACAAGGGTGGAGGGCCCACAGTGACTGGGAGAGCAGCCTGAATTGGATCCAAGGCAGAGAAGGTATACAGGCAGGCAGAGACGCAGAGGAAACACAAGCGCAACTGGGGCCAGGTGAGAGGCAGGCAGAAGGTGCTCCCTGCGCTTGAAAATCATCTCGGGTTCTTCTGAGCTAGTATTAAACATGGTGCCCACTGGTCTATTTTACAACCTGCTTCCTTGTCTGAAACAGCAGCCCTGCAAGAGAGACGCCGGTGCCTTGAGGAAACTCTGTCACGCCGATTAGCAGTTTCAAAGGGACACTGAAGCCGAATGTGTCTTTTGGTCTATTTCTGTCATATTGCACTATACAGCCACAAGCCAGTCTTCAGGCACAGCTGCTCCTGTGGCTGGGGAAGGTCTGTTCAACACCGCACAACGAGTTACATCACAAGCACTGAGAAGCAACATGCGAAGCAAGCATAACTCCAACAGTTTAACAACGGTTAAAGGTACAATTGAGAAGACAGAGCCCTTCTGATATACACACAGGATGGAATAGCTCCTTTAAATATCTGAATACCGGGGTCTAATAATTCCAAGCAAAGGTAAAGGGAAGATGACCAGAAATTAATGACCAGATATTGTGCGACTCCTGAATTCAAGATGTCTACAGTGTAGATGTCTGTAGTACTTGTCGGAACCATCACACCAGTACTTGCCGTTGAACAGAGCAGGTTTAAGACTGGCTTCCCCTGCAGGTCTTCCTGATTGGACGGGGCCAGGCGTCTCAGTCACAAACGTGCCGGACTGCACTCGATCAACTTTAATGTGCTGTCTCACCATCCACCTGAGCCACCCGCTAAAAGGAGTGGGAAATCGGCAGAGCTCACAACATGCAGAGAAGCACAGAGGGGTACCAGGAGATCGATAACTTTCCCCATACGTGGAAATCCTTAAAGCAATTAAATATTAAAAGCAGAGCAGTGCAGTCTGCCAGCTGGATAAGACAAAGGAAGCTAATTCGATTACAGCAGAGATCAAAAGTTGAAGGTGGGTGAAAGGAGCAGCCCAGTGTATAAAGACGTTTTGCTCTGCACATACAAAATGGGAGAAGATTTAAGAGGCTGAGATGCACACAAATGACTTCATAAAACATTTGCATATACATAATGAAGAATCAAACACTGCTCCCCTTTCATCATACCGTTTAGAGACAGGTGTAAAGATACAATGAGACGAGGCATCCACTCAGTCATTTAGTAGACGATTTATTCTCATAAAGAGTCTCAATAACAAAAATACAGGTGAAGAAAAAATTATGTCCATTTTTTACAGTTATATTAATAATTTCAGTTTTGAAATAACTGGTTTTAAAAATGTCACAACCAATAGAAAACATCAATAATATAGCCTGGAATACTGTACAGACCATGCCACAAAACCATAAATTTCCTTAAATGTGGTTATATAATAACTAGCTCATATTTCTTGTAAGAAATGCCAATAAGTTAAAGAAAATTTGATATCCTTCATTACTGTTATCCTTCAAAGGTCTTCCTGAAGGGCAAAATTGCATGTTGATTTCAGCTGCTATTATCTCAAAGCAAAAAAAAAAGCAGGTTACGATAGAGGCAGTTCGGCCTGGCTAAGGTACAGAAATCAAGTGTATCCTTCAGCAACCCTTCCCAGTGAGCTCTGCTCTGTCTGCCAGCCCCATGCAGGTGGTTGGTTGTAGTGTATTTTAGAATCCAGAAGCGCGTCAGACTTTTCTTTTCCACTGGTAAAAAGGTAACCTTATTAACTTAAACACAGCCAGCTACAACAGGGTTAAAAAGTATCACTTTGGTCAAGTGGCTGATTCTATTTATACGAAAATATTGGCATAAATTAACAAATCCATTACACACCCTCCCCCCTCATCTTACCAAACGTACACATTTGAACCCAGAGAAAACATAAGGAGTGCATTTTTTCTTCCACATCAATCATGCTGCATAAATACAACACAAGTACATCCAATTACCAGCTGTTGCAGCCCTTTCTCCCAAACACATTAATACGCAGAGACTGTAAAAATGCTAATACTGTCCAATGTAGTGTTAGAGGCAGCTCTGGACGAGGAGAAATGCTAAAAAAAAAGCAATGGTAACAATAAATCCCACCAGTATTTATTGTGCTTTAAATAATCTACTGCAAAGAGACATTAAAAAATAAGTTAAGATCGAGATTGTTTCTTCTGACAGCACTGGAGCATTTCCTCCGAGATGCACAAGTTCATCCAGAAGCATGTGAAGTGAAGACAAATATTTTAAGACCAGTAACGTGTGGCCAGTGTCCATGAAGCAGCAGCCTCAGATTCTGATTCTCAGTGCTTGGTAAGTTGCCAAGAAACCTGGATCTCTGCAGTCCAACAGAAATAACACTGCACCCAGCTCTCTGAAGCAAGGGCTTCCCAGCACCAGCTCATCAAGACCGCAAGCTTCGGGAGTCAAATATCAGAACACAAAAAAAACACAAAATATGTACATGGGCTAATAAGCACTTCGCTGCCGATCTATTAATTGAGAAAAAAATCATTTTAAAAATAAACGAATGTAAACACTGAAACGTTAGATAGCTTCGGGGGAGCAAAACAAATTGTGTAGTGTCACACTGTGTTCAGATAAGATGAAAACATTTTGGGAATGTCAATAAATTAGGCAAAATATGGGTATTTTTACTTTTGGTAGCGCTATGCTCGAGTCTGTAAGTAAAGCCGAACATATATATTGAGGAAGAAGGCCTCACAAGGACTGCACCACTCCAGTGCACTCCTCTGCAAGCTACAGCGTACAACATGAACTCTCGACATATCCGATTCACTTTCTGATGTCAAACGTGGCTTCAGAGCTCTTCCTAGGGCACTGCGAGCATCACAGGCACAGCCGAATGTTCCAAACTGAACGGAAACACTAAACTCTAAGGAGAGCAAACCATGGAACTAGGCAGCAGGTGGCTGTGGATATCTGGGCGTGTGATCCTTATGCCAGTTCCACATGAGACTGCGACTGCTTCGTTGTCCACTCCCCTACCACAGCATTTTACTGACTTTTTCAAATTCAGACGTGACTTACAAAAATGCTCATATTTTAAAACAGAAATACCAGAGGCAAAAACAGCTGCTCCAGAAACTGCAGCTGCTCGAGTTAGCAATTCAGGTGGCGCACAACAGTATGTGGTCTTTCAGTCCTGCACTCATGTTGTATAGGGTTTCTTGTAGAGTATGGATACAGGCAGATTAGCAGGATGCTTTTCTCCCAGTTTTTGTTTTATGCAGAGCTCTCCAAGGAATGAAGATGGAACACAGTGGAGCTCCTTCCTAGTGCTAGTTCTGAATTCACCTGTGGTATATTCCCTTTCATTGTCTTTGAATCATTTCATTTTAAACAGAAAATAAGTTGACTAATCGATGAACTGTGAAAAGGCTATGGTCCACAATGCACCATAATTTGTGTCAGTGCTCATATGGCTTAGCTTGCAGAAAAAAGGAGAATGATTTTTATCTGATATGGGTATTTATAAATGGGGTAACCTCACTCAGCTACTGTATCTCAGCCTAAGATTTGTAATTCTTTCCATGCTTACATTAAGGCCGTGACGTATTCGAGCACCCTGCTTTCAGAACAATGGTTTTGCATCTTTGTTTCAGATTAGTGAATTCTGAGCAATTTTGGTAGAAGTTGAGACTTTTTTTCTATAAACCGATTAACCACAGTCTTATGTGTTTACAAGTCATTAATCGTATTTTAGTCTAAGCAGTATAGATGGTATTATTGTGTGATTGTTTTTTCTAGCATTTACCAGAAATGCAAAAAAAACAGCTCTGATTCTAATTGTTCCGCACTAATCCCCAAAGATACTAAACCTAGTTTCTCATGATTTCCCAACATTATGTATACAATTAAATCACTGAATTTGTTCAGAACTATGGCTACTAAGTTCAAGTAGTGCATTACATTTAATTTTGTATTCATAGTGTTTTGCTTGTTTTGTTTTCAAACAGAAGTTGATGTTCAAAAAGACAGTTTTATGTCGTACATATTTCCCCCAAAAAGATATGGCATCAGATTTTAAGGTTAAATATTTTGTGCCAAATAACAGAAAACATCACTCGCTTTCCTAAGCAAACAGACATTTAGGTGCCACAAGCACCTTTCCTTTCAGCTCTGTGTGTCTTTGTCCCTTTCAAGCCCTTAGAACATAGCTTGGGTTAGCTCTTATGATCTTTCTGAAGTAATCAAATAAAACACACATTGGATTCAGAAAAATAAATCAATCCCTTTATAACCCGTGACTACAGAGTATTCCCAAAATAAGCGTGCATAATTACAGGTATGGAACTCAAAACACTTAGACACTAAAAAAATCTATGAGTAACCAAAACAGAGTATCTTCCCCCACTAATCTAGTTCTGAACTGAAGAAACCCTTTAAATCTTGCACTAAAAGAGCAGCGACATTCTGACCTAGGTTTATTTTCTGCAAATACGGATTTTGTTCGAATGCAGACAAGGCTTCATTACCTTAAAGTTCAGCTATTACATGTGCAGCCGTGCCTCTGTCCTGTGCAAGGGGCATGCTCCTGTACTCTTGAGCAGAGATAAGCAAGCAAAAAGCCTGTACAGTATTTGCTTACACCGGGAAGATGTTACCAACAGTGTATTTTTTTACATTCCAGATTTAGCTTTAAATGACATTTTTTGCCCTTCGATATACAGAAATCTGATTGAACTGTGGACATTTTTATCTATTATTAAACTGCACCAAGAGGGAGCAAGTGGGGATGGGACGATTTCTGGGACTAAGAAATCGGGGTGAATTACCGAGAATGAGGAACCCAAAGAGCTTTTACCCAACACCTTCAGGACAACAGCTTCTCTTGTTATTGGATTTGATTGTTGGTGCATATCACAGTGCTCTCTTAGCAAACCAAACAGCATTTCTGGCATTGTATTTATATACAGTATGTAACAAGTTAGGCCACGTAAATTACAAACAACATAAGAGAGGGGTGACACACCAACGTTTACTGATTGAAATAAAATTACAGGCTTATTGATGAACTGATCCAACACGTAATTAAGGATTTAAGTTTTATTTGGTTTATCATCAGGTACTGAAACATGACCGTGAAAAATAATTTTCACAGCCGACATTTTAAACCGTGAGGCCTGCCTCACCTGGACTTGTCCCGCAATCCACTGGCCTAAGTACTGACGAGTTTCAGATTTTCATTCTGTTTCTTAAAATTTAGAACCAGAGGGGTTTTCTTCTTCCCTGCTAGCGAGCAGAGGTGCCTACCTAACCCCGCCCTCCACCGCCACACACGAAACCTGCCTGGGACAGGAGAATGGAGCACGAGTATCGGGGTCACTCGCCTCGGGTCGCCCCTTCTTCCCTTCCGCCCTGACAGGGCCTCCGTGCCAGCCTGAACCGAAACTCAGATGCCTGAGAAGCAGCAGGCCCACGGTGCCCCATTCAACTCTACGCTATTCAGCCCATAGTGTCCCAGTCCCTGGGAGCTCCAAACCAGTCAGCGCGTGGCAAAGCCAGGATCTGAACTGGCAACCTCCCGGCTACAGGGCACCCCCCAGACTCTCGAGTGAAGGCTTTGACTACACAAGCCAGCACGAAGCCCACCTTTCCATACTCCTGCTTTTCGAAATTGGTAAAACACTCCTGCATGATGAAACTGTTACCAATCGAGAACAAAAAACAAAACAACAACATGTACAGTAAAGGGTGATGTTCTTGTCATCAACGAAGACCCTCTGAACGACTACGCGTCACAGTGCGGGCGCAGCTACGTCAGTGGCTGCAGGCATGCTGCTCATTGTCTGCGTCTCATCCGGAAAAAAGGCTCTTCAGTTTATCCAAAGTGCATAGTGAGAACAAGCTGAGAGTTTTAAATAAGATCCCCCCCCTTCACAAAGACAGCTCATTATTAGTCCATTTCGGTATTTTTTTCAAGTACCCCTCTGCAGGTGCAATTTCCAAGCTCGAAGACGACAGCGGGCACGAGCTGTCAGCCAGGCAGGCAGACTTTCCCAGCGAACAGCAGTCCCACTATCGTGAAAAAAATGGATAAGACAAACAGTACATATGAAGACCCCACCACTGTGTTGTTAGGTAACTTATATGGCTGTCCTCCCACTTCATTGATGTAGAATCCTATGGGGAAGATGAGAGCTGCCATGCAGAACAGGACCACTGCAAAAGAAGACGAGAAAGGAAATATCAGGATATCTCTTGACATGGTACAGTATGTTAATGCCATAATAACTTAAAATGGGCTATTTTCTCATACAATGATTGGGAATGGATCTCAGTCCATAGTAAAGGAAGCAAGGATATACATCACTGTTGTCCAAATCTGGAAAAACACTTCAGAAGAGTTTTAGAGACAATGGTTGTCAAACAGGAGATGGTGAGAGGTAATCTGGGACTGTACTGCCACTGGCTGATGCCTGATTGACCAATGTTTTAAATCGCAGTGTCTGCGTTATTGAAGCATTGTATCTGTAAACGGAAAAAAAAAACTAACTTTTACACAGGGTACCTTGTCTAGCTTTTGATTTTTTGTCTTTCACCAGACAGCTTAACACCACTATTAAAGGGGAGGGGCTGCGCAATGGAGCCGCTAACTGTGGCTAAGCTCTTCACGCTGTGACAAGAGAAAGAGAACGGCAATGTATTTGACATAAATGCATCTGATGCAGTGAATACACTGATGCCCCAGTTCATTTGCTGAGACTGAAATCTAAAAACACTGAAGCTGTCTTTGATCCGAAATTCCAATCTTGACATAACTTGCCCCAATGACATCAGAATTAAGCGTTCCATTTCCAGACGGATTTCAGAAGCACCTGTTCCAAGGGTGGTGCAGCTCTGCACATGTGACAGGGGAAGGGCTCACTCTTCCCAGTCAGCCACACACTATGCAAGAAAATCTATTTTCAAAGAGCTCTAATAGGGATAAATCACAACGTACATCTCAGCACATTAACATCACTTTTGTAGAACCATTAGGAGGATAACAGGGTCTCTGGATGCTCCCAAGCTACAGTGCAATTAACCTTACAGGAGTTTGGAAAGCATAAAGCTTGGAGACAGCAGAAAAGTAAGTCGTTTTATAACATCAGATCTGTGGCTGCAAAACACCCTTCTATTTGGCAACTTAACAAGCAATGGGCCGAACGCTTCTTGTTCCCATTTCTGTCTCTGCTTTCTGGGTCACTGAAAGAATTTCTGAAATGACAATACCGAACTAATCACAAAAGCCAAACGTGACAATTTCCTAAACCACCCTTGTTTTCATTTTTAAAAACAAAGGGAAAAAAGTACTTGCTTTCTGCAAGGGGACTGTGCCCAGTGTAGACAGGTACAATAAAAGAAACCATGCTTGCTAAAAGAAAAAGTATTGCTTTGAAGAAAAAAGGGATTAAACATTAGGCCCCTACTAAAGTACTGCTGAATCCTGCAGTTTGCTAGTCCACAGGATAATGCCAACACAAAACAGAATGCAACTTTCTTTATTAATTCATCCCTGCAAACAGGTTTTACCCTCACAAAACTGGAGCCATCTACAGATGGAATTCCAAAAAGCACTTTGCAAAATGTAAAATTCACTCTTAATCCACAGCGGTAATTAATCTGCTCGCAGGAATGTTCAGGATGTGATCACTGGAGGTCAGAGTGTTTTGTTCCAGCACCTGGAGGGAAGGGGTGTGTGAGATAAAACCTTGTTGCTTCCAAACTGTGAAAGACATCTGACAGCTTTCCACTAATTTTATCAGGGGGTTTCAAAGAACTACACCACTGTTTCGAGAAGAAAAAGACAAGAAAGCTGGACAGAATTAATTAGGTTAAGCAGGTGGCCTGGTCCCCTGCGTACTTTTAAACATGCCAAAGAGTTCATGAGCTTGGCACAGCCAGACAGACTGAAGGAACAAGCAATACAGCCAGGGGCTGCTGATTAAGAGACGGAGCAGCAGCCTTTGATAACATGTGATGACAATCCTTTTACAGGTGTGGTGTGTATAATTTACTGGTACAAACCAGCTGTAGGCCACTGCCAAGTTACTACTTGCACAGCGATATCTATCCAGAGGGTCCAGTCTGAAATGGGTTCCTCCTCCTCATGCACATTCAAACCTCGGAGAACAGGGGAAAAACATGTGGAAGAAAGTTGCAGATGCCTGGGATCCTAGCAATACATGAGATCAAGTACATGTCTGTGAAGATGAAAAAGATTTTTACATCAACATTTTTTCATGCAGGCAACAAGTGGCACAGTGGCCCCTTATAATAACCGGACTGAGTATCCTTGCACAGCAATAACTGAAATAACTTATTTACAACCTGGCATAGTGTACCACCAGTTTTTTTTTTATATGTTTATGCAATTTCTTGATTCTGTTAAAAAGGGAAACGACTGTAGGTGATAACGGTCTTTAATAATATTATATTGCATTGTATATCCACTACTATATAAATGTATTTCACTGATGCTTTTGTGCAATCAAAACGATTTGCAATTTTATAACTTAAAAAATGTTGCTGCCTCATACTGTATGCCTCAATATCCCATTTCATGTCTGATCGACCAAATAGTAGAGATACAGTAACTGGAAATGAGTTTAATACTGCCTTCATGAAAATTCAAACAAGGGACACTGTGAGTCAGACCCACTGTATCTGTTAATTCCACAAAAAGGTCAACTTGCAGATCAACCCCCTTAAGTATTTAGGGCTGCAGAAGCAACAATAAACAAGAACATCCCAATAACTTTCATGGGAATCCAGTTTTACCCACATTATACATGTAACAGTTCTCTAGAAGAAAACCTATTTTTAAATCCACCCTCTCAACAGTTTTTGATGTTAATGGAAGTCATAAATATTTCACAAGCGTTCAGACTACTGTGATGGACAGCAGCTGCTCCGTGTATTACTGGACAATCTGGCTTCTGTTGCTACTCCCACAGTGTAGAATATTTCAGAAAGTCGAGCTCACTGAAGCACAAGTAAGGGGGGAATGACAGAAAGGATATAGCAAAATTCAATTAGTGGTTTACAAATCAGGCATTGAAATCACATTTCAAAATCAGTCACTTTTACAGCTCTGTGAATAAAGTTTTAAACTGTATAATGCAAATGCAGACATGCATCAAGGCCATGATCGGATTATGAAAACACACAGATTAAGTACTGTAACGTGTTTGCTAACATCTGTCGGGCAATTCTGCTCCAGCGTAGTCAAAACAAGCCCTGAAGGGCTCTTTCCCACAGCTTACGAATGGCAAGATAAAACACTGTACTGTATTCGGAATGAGAACCTCAAGGCTATTTAACCATTACAGAGGTTTTACTAAGCAGAACAGGAGCAACAGAAGACGCCTGTGTCTGCACTGCACTGCCATTGTCATGCATGGGTGTCATGGCTACACACTGAATCATTAGTCTACAAACATTTGCAAAATTAAATCCATGAATTAAACTCATAATTAACATTAAAACCGATAAAAAGAACACCATTTCGGTGTTATTTTATGAACCTATAGTTACACATATATACAGTACAATATTGCAGTACTGACTGTATTTTCAGAAGAGCCTGGTTTCCCTCAGCCTTTATTTGAATTTTATTGCTTACTCACTTTATCTGTGACATTTATTATCAATAACATCCCGTGTGTTTTACATATTTATGTAAGTGAGTTTTTATTTGTATCGGGTTACTTTGGTCATTTTCTTATTTACTCTCGATACAGTACATTTGAAATGATCCAAATGAAACATTTTTATTCTTTAATATACAAATGTAAATACAGAACATCTGATTTAGCTATATAAAGGCCTTGGATGCCATTATATCTAAGTTGTTAAAGTACTGGCCAAACTCACAAAATGCATCAGCAAAACCTGCTGTTTTAGACTGAAATTGAAATTAGTCAGATGAAGTTCCATAGGCTGTGCGTCATCTCGCATTCGGCTACTAGAACTTTTATTCTGAAATGAAATGAAAAGTGGATTTAAACAAAACAGTGTTGAAAAGGTGCCAAAAGCAGTCATTCAACAAGTTGGTGCTGGACTTCCTACAGCAGGAAATCAAGGAAACTCTTTTTAAATGTGGGTCGCGACCCTTCCCTCTAACGCTGAACTGCGCAACCAGCACAGCGGCCTCCCTTTGCAGACAGCCTGAAGAGCACATGGTGCTGCTCGCCGACTCTGCGAGACCAGCTGAGGGAGTGTGGCGGCTAACCCACTAAGCCAGGCAGACAGTGGCTAATATTTATGTCTGCCCCTGCTGACAGCCCATATGCTAGTCCAGACTGTGTTGCAGAGCAGGGGCTTCCTTGACCTGGAACAGAAATAAGGAACCTGTTCAGAGGCCTGAGCATCTCCTCTGTGGATAGTAGGGTCTTGTGCACATGGCACAAAGCCCCCTTTCATCTACAGTGGCCTGAAGCCAACCCACTACTACCAAGCACCTGTGTAAGGCTTGAAAATGCATACCAGTCGCCCTTATGTGGAAGATTAAAAACAAAGCTGGCACACTGAGAAACACCCACCCAAAGCAAACATTTCTAAATGAATCTATGAATGACAGGCCTTGTAAGTTATTGGTAAACAGCAGGGTATTGGGGACAGATGCATTGCTTGCCTCTGCCTTGTGCACAAGAAATCAGCATGTACACATAATGTCACATCTTGACTTTCATTTCACGGCTTTAAGAGATTTTGAAAGATATTGCCAGTTGTACGTCTGATATGCACAAACCAAGAGCTTACAGGATCATAAGAGTTAAACGTAATCACACAGCATTTCCTCTTTATACCTTTTAAACCAAAGAACACACTGTACAGAACAGTGCATCCAGACTGTTTTTTCAAGCAGAGATCTCCCTTTATCTATGTCCTACTTTATGATTTCACCGCCTCCGCAAAAAATGACTCATTTCCCAAAAAAGTGTGACAATCACAATCTCAAAAAGAGCTAAGAACAATTTTGAGCCATTTCTCTTTGATTCATTCCCCATTTGATGCATTAATATTACATTTAAAGCGTGCACATTCAACAGATTTTCATCAGCTGGTATACTTTATACTCTAGTGCTTTCAAGAAAATTGCTCTTAATTCTCTTCCCTACTGTTTCCCCATACAAATTAGGTTTACACCAAATACAGAGATAAAAACTGGGCTGGATATACAACTGAGATTCCTGTGAAGACTCCAATGCCAGCTCATCAGCATTTAACTAGGATGAGCTATCCAATGATCTTGATTTAAACTGTGAAACAGCAATTAAAAATCCCTATTAATAAAAAACATGGGACGCATCGACAAAAAGGTGTTATAAATTCTCAATTAGCAATGCCTGATATTTATGTATTAGAAACTATTAATTAAAATGAGTCACATTTTAAGGCTCATGAAATAAATCTCTTCCTGGCATATATTATCTTTTAAGATTTCAAGATAGTTTAATACAGATTTTTCTTTTTAGGTAGTAATTGGCACTTTAAACTTCTGGACAGACAGATGCAAAGTCAGCACAGAAATGATGACAGAGCACTTTAAGACTATTGCAGAAAACTCCCACAGAGAAATCAAAGCAGCCATTTCGCACTATTTTAATCACTGTATTTGTTAGCAACATTAACAGCCCAGTGGAGTGTGCTCACAGTTTAGCAGATAATTAAGATGACATTCAGGGATGTACCCACAATAAATAGCAGGAAAATAATTTGCTACAACCCTTGCCTGAACTTTAATATCTGACATACAACAATATCAATGAAAGTTAAATCCACACTGGAAAGATAGAAGGAAGAAAATGTTTCAGCATTGAATTAAGCTTTACTTGTTCCTGTACAGCCAACACATGCTGACGCATGGCGGCAGCCCACGTAAATATTAAAGGTGAATTAGCATAAAATAATTTTTTCCAAATTTCAATTTGTACATAAGAATATTAAAAAGGATTATTAAGGAGAGAGAAGTAGGACAGGATCTGACCCACTGATCTCAATCGAAACTCTTGTCCAGGTGCCTCCAGCAGGGTGCCAAAGTGTTGCTTTGAACGGCTAAGTAGCTCTTCAATCAAGCCAGCTCCAGCTCCTTAAGGACAGAAGTGCCTCACATTTCAGGTTTGAAAGGCATTTCCTTTGAATGTTGTTGGTGACTGAGAGGAGCCGTTCTTTGCATTGTGTTGTCTATATCTTTATATATATATATCACCTTTATATCTTGTTTTTTAAAACATCAAATACTGTTGCAAGCATCTGGTCAATACTAAAGATATTTAGTTCCTTTACTTTGTCTGCATTTGACATGAATGATGTTAGGAATTAATCTGTTTTTTCTTCCTCTAACTCAACCTAGGGTGGCAACGGGCTTTTTTTCCCCTGACTGAAGCAGACCGCAACTTGTTCATATCAGAATCCTAAAGATTGCAGAGAGAATAACTGGCAGAATGCGTGTTAGTTTTTAAAGAAGAGTTTATAAGTGCTGGGGTTTAATGTCCTCTTTGTTCTTCTCAAGGGGAAATCAGAGCACATGTAATTGCTGTGTGAATACAGGCCGATCCCTAGTGGCTTGGGAACTTTCTCCTTAGCTCGTAAACAATGAATTCTTCTCTAATGGTCAGACGGCATTGTTATAATTGAACACTGAATCGGTGAGATTTATGCAGGAAGCAGTGTTCATAATTGGAAACTGGTGGAGCTGGAAGTAATTAGACTTATGTTCTGATGCTGGTGCAAGGCTGGTGCTCGGAGAGGTCAACACTAATCAGCCAGAAAACGAAACTTCTACCAGCGATGCCGGCTGCCAAGTCCCTGCACAGAAGAGCAGACCCATTGTTTTCCTTCAGCTCTTTAGGAAGCCTGGCCTTACAGTTCTCTACATGTGCAGGATTAGCCCGGCAGATGGGTATGTCAGCATCAACCACCATCTCCCAGAGACCAGAACCACCTGCTCCTGGCACTGCTGTGCGGATGGATATCCTCAGGCCTGCACTGCTCAAGGAATCAAGATTATCAACTTGGATGGGAGACATGAGCCCTAACGAGACTCAGGTCCCCTTCCAAAACGGTTTTCACAGGCAGACCGTAGAGCTATTTTAAAACTGGAGAAATGACCAAAACCCTTCTGTATAATATTAAAGAAATTGCTTTAGTTTCCTACGGATTTTTGATCAATCACACTGCTTATTATTTTCTGTTCTTAGGTTATTTTTCCCCTATCAAGAGCAGGAAGTATTTTTTTACAGGATCCTCTGCCAGACCCCACAAAGTATGGAAATAGTTTCCCAAATCCCCAGGACAGTGTGCAGTGCAGGTACGGGCAGAGCGAAGAACGCTCATCCTGAAACTGAAAATGAGGAGTACAGATTAGCCACAGGTGGCGTGTTGGGAGGAACCCAAAAGAAACTTACTTCCAGTGAAGGCTATCCAGCGTGCGTACTTCGTGGCTTCCCTGCGCCAGTGTGACGCCACTAACAAGCCGCACGTGACAGTCAAGGATATGATCCCCATGATGATGAAAAACAGCGTGGTGACCCATTCCGGAGGCAGCCGCGGGGGGATGCAGGTCCTGTCCCGTCCATGGATAGTCTGACACTGTCTGACCAGGCCCACGGTAAGAGCACCTGCAACACAGAGCACAGGCCTGAGACGCCATTCGGCACCGGGAGCAGGGCCCGCCTCGCAGCGAGGGGCGGACGCACGGAGGACAGGAGGACACGGCCTTACGGGAGAGCCAGGCAGGCTGCTCACCACACCGGAATTAAAGCACAGAAGATCACCAGCGCTGGCAGAAAAACCTGAATCTGTCCACAGTGGATCAATAATTAACTGAAGTGTGCTACAATGAACTATACAAGCAAGCAGGGAAAAAAAAGCTGAAATGAGCACTGCATAAGAGCTACCATTAAAGCAATTCAAAATCTCTCTTCTTATTCAGTGTTAGTAAATTTACAGGTACTTAGAAATATCTAAAAACCGCACACCAGAAAAAGGATGACATATTTCCCATTGAGCTTCTGATGCGTCATGCCTTTTAACCAGGGCTTGTACAGAATGCCTGTAACAAGACGACTATACAGCAGATTCTTTTCAAAGGCTGTTCTTATATTTTCAGTAAGAGAAAACGATTACCTGACCTGAGTGGAAGGAATGCAACAGCATTTCAAACTCAGATTAAGACGACAAATCAGAATCTGTCCGAAGGGCAGACAAAGAAATGGGAATGACCTTACCGTGCCTGCCGTTTTTTACCTTGATTATTTATTGAAGTGATGTTAAAGAACATTACTAGCCTAGAAAGCAACAGTAATAACAGCACTGGTCGACAAAGACAAAAGTTCGATGTACTGTGACACTCCGAGACTGTACTCTGCGGCCAGCTGGTCTTCCAAAGCCAACGTGTTTTACCGTGGTGCCAATGGAGCTCGCACCACGCTGCATGGACCCGCAGGCACTGAAAGGCCATGCAAACAGTGAAGGGCTCGTACAGCCGGTCCCCACACTCTTCAGACCCCAGGGGTGGGGATGTCCAACCACGAAAACAGGGCAGGAGGCAAGTTCTCTTCGGGGCTCACTTCACACAGGAGGCTAAGTGGGGATGTCTTTGTGCGGACACTTGGAAGGACTGGACGGCCAAGCGAAAAACCAAAACGGAAAAGCGCAATCTTCTGTCACGACACTTCTCCTGAGCAGATCCAACCCGTGAGATGACTGTACGCGCCGACTCTCCTGACCTTTGGCATTCTTTCCTAGTCTCTTGTCAATGGGCTAGAAATGATCACAAGGCCGACACAGAGAGCGTCCATTAGCCCCTTTTGTAATCAATTAACCTCAAAAAAGACTCTCCTGACTTAGGAGTCTTCCCTGACAAGTTGCCTTTGGGGACGAAACATGAACAAGGCAGGAATCAAAGGGCAAGAAACGCATGTTTAGCGTAGTGGGGAATACATTTTGGAAAATGAATTATCACAGCTGGGGGTCTTTAAAGCTTTGTCCAAAACACTCCCTGGGGCTCAGCACTCTGAATATAAACGGGTTAATCACAAAGCTAGGGCTAGCTAAGCCACACACACACACAAATCTGCCTGCAGGTCAATCGTATGAAAACCAGCTCGTTCACTGTGTCTAGTTCTGCTCCAGTACTAGCGTGCCAGCAGGAGAAACAGAGGCCAGTGTGCATCTCCTCTTGCGCGCTGACACTCTGAGCAAGGCTGCTCCTGTTTAATGTGGTCAGGCAGGACATGATAAAAAACATTAACAGCTGACAAAGTTATTCAGCTGAAGCCCGTTACGTATTTGGGCTTTTTAATGATGGTTTCATTTTTAATGAAACCGCAGAACTGCCAGCAGTGGTGACCTCTTGATTCATTTCTGTTTCACCTTTAGAAAAATGTACAGTGGTTGGCATGGAAACAAGCCTGGCGAATGAAGACATTAAAAAGCAGCACAAAAAAAAATGAATGAGGTCTCTGGTGCTTTAGTAATTCATATGTAGCTCGGCTGAAAGGAATAACTCGCACAGCATGTATGACACTCTGCCCACCTCCATAGGGGACACACAGATGACTTGTCCAAGATCAGATTTTGACTTAGTTGCCTGTTGGGCCCAACAGTTTTATACAAGTCAGTTCTGAGCTCAGACCGTAAACCCTACAAGAACACCTGTCTATGACTGATGAAGCTTGCTTTTCACTGGGCTTCTCTATCAAGGCTACAGCCTGAAGAAATCAATTTCCTGATTGGAAACTTGGAAAAACACTTGCATTCTGCTTTATACTGCAGAATTTTTTTCTGTTTAACTCTTTACGTGTTTAGCGAAATGAAGACAAGATTTATATACTGTAGACTACAAAAGCCAAACGAAAAACTCTTTAAAGATGGAATAGATCTTCTATTAGTTCCCGTTGAAGTAATTAACTTCGTGGATGCAATACCCTGGATTCTTTCAAAAAACAGCTGGACGAGATCCCTGGACTCATTAGCTGCTGTCAAACTGGCTGGGTGGGTTCAAATGTACCCCCGTCGTTTGTGACTGAAGATCATTTTGATTCCTTGAAAAGAACGGTTTCTGATGCTAGCATGTGGCTTGATCTTGGATTCCTTCTGGGATGCAGTAACGCTGCAGTGGAAACGCACCAGGATCATGAAGACAAGGGAAACGTGAGAAGCCTATGTGCACCACTCTTTGACATTTCTTCCTCCCACCTCCCAGTACCCAGCTCGTGCTCGACACCGGAGTTTACAAACCAGCGTACAACACCTGATCCTTTAATCTGAAGCACAACGGGTCCACCACCGTTTCTCCAGCTACCATAACCCTAATAACGAATAAAGAAATCAAACTCTAGACGTCTAGACGATTGGAGGATTCTCCGGGAGATACCCTTCACGGAAAGATTCAGCCCTAAAATGGAGCTGTCTAACGGGCTTGCACTTACTGAGAAGTGAAGTGATTGCTTGATTGCGAGGACAGGAAAAGCTGAGCGATAAAATCCGGTGGATACTGGCTGAGAAAATCAGTTTGCAGAAAAGACTCAGCCCTGTACTTGAATGTCGTTAGTCTGTTCTCAAATCAACTTTTAGTGGTCTAATCGTAGAGCACACAAGACAGCTATGGAAAACAACAGTACATTTAGACTCTGAAGGCATTACATAAGCCAAATCCTTTTTCAAAGAATAAAAAGAGCTTTAGCTACTTTTCAGAAAAACACAAATGACTACCTGTATCTTATTGCATATAAAACATGACACACACATATATATAAAGCATACTTTTCTTAACAAGGTGTTTTAGAACTTAGCTCTTAAGGGTTCTGGCCATTAGTTAATATACCATCAATTTCTGAAGCCTGTGTGTTTTAAAGGGGCCTAATAACCCATGATCTCAGGCCCGTGCCATGTGATGTCTTTCAAAGAAAGCGCAAACAGAGCCCCGACCCCAGTCGGCAGCACAGGAAGTGTGCACCAGGGCATTGGCCACAACCAGACGTCTATAAACAACCTAGCCAGCGAGTGCATGAGGTGCAAAACTGGGCACCGCTGAAAGGTTTGATGGCGAGGTACTAAAAAAGCAGGATAAAAGCCGCACAGCAACATTTGTAGAGTGACTCATTTTTTCCACAACGGAGAAGAAAGAGGCGTATTTGATTTTGCCGTTCCCCTACTCTCCGGAGTTCGGGATGAACATTATTTTAACACCGCAGTCCTTCCCTTCGGCCGCACCACTCCGTCAGACCAAATGAAAAGCAAAGCGCATCTCATGACATTCCAGGCCTTGCCTGTAATACAAGAAGACAGTAGCACATTACGTGACGCACAGCGCATCATAAGGCAGCTTATTATTTAAGCATTCAATCAGGAAGAAAATGAGAACATAATGGATGCTCCAAAATTCTTGATGGGGTAAATAATTTCAGAGTTTCAGACACACCAGGCCTACAATCCTGATTCTGAACACCATCTGTAAGGGGTAACCCTGCACTGAAACAGGCTGCAAGCTCATAACAAGGAAGCTCAATCCAGAGGGGGTCTGCCTCTCACCCCGCAGTAAAACAGCCATCGGCCTGGGAAGTACTACATACTTAGTAAAAAGGAAATGCAGAAGAGGTATTCTCTTTGATGAGCAATACCACTCCTGTTCACTTTCAGCAGCACAAACTTCACAACACAAGGGCTATCACAGTCCTGGCATTCCTTAGCGATCAACAACAGACTGTACTACACGCCTACTTTCATTTCATGTAAAAGCAACATTCGGCTCAAGTCGGAAAAGCACAATTTATTACGTCACTTATTTTGGAATCACCAGCAATAAAAAATATTTCTAAAGAAGTACAAGTCAACATTTCATTGTTAGCTAATGTTTGACTTCTGTTTTAAGGCAGTAGAAGGGTTTTCTGCTGTTTTACTTCTTCATACTGCACTGTTAAACTATTGCAGCTTACAATAAAGGGCACCGTAAACATCGAAAACACTCAGAAAGGGCGATTGTTTTCTCCCTTTAGACTATTAAAAAGTTGAAATGGGTGTTTGCCAGCTGCTTTTGTGCGACACAGGGATTTGTGCAACAGCCAAAGTATTTAGAGTGAATTAGAAGAGTGTTTACAGGGTTTAATAGAGGCTAATGTCTGTATTTTAGAAATATTTCCCCAACACCAGTCAGTCCCCTGCTGCTTCCAAGTTCACATCTGAATATCTCCATTACAACAAGCAGGCACGCTATCATGGACGTTTACAGCCACTCACTGCACTAGCCCATCAGCGCAAGACCACAAACACATGCTTCACTTTCACACATCACTTATTCGTACACTAGAAACAGGAATACCTGGCAGCCTCTGCCCAGAGGAGTGAAGAGTGTGTTATCTTGCCTTCTGCAGACTCTCCAAACCCCACACAAATCCATGTAACAAAATGACACTACTATTGTGCACTAACATCTTCTCGTATTCTCAGGGATCACCAGAAATAAGGGAATGTTACTGGAGTGTAGTCAAATGCTCACAAAAGATGGCTCTCTCCTCCTCAAGTGCACCTCAACCCCTAGTTAGGCCTTTCTGAGCCAGCAGAGAGATTAACTTGAGGATGCAGACAACTGCACAATCTCAATGCCTTTCTTCAGCGC